AGGTCAAAGGTCAAATCCAAGGGTATATTTGAAATCTACACATATGACTTTTGGAAAGCCGTCTATAGAAATTTTTCCCATAACTCCTTCCGTAGGGTAGATAATTAGCATTTAATTTTGCCATTTTTAGACAAGGGTGCATTGTAATGAGTGCCACACCCAGACCCCAATACCGACAAAGCCCAAATTTTACGTGGAATGAGTTGAGATTATAGGTGACCTAAATCCATGAGATGGGTACGGGGGCCCTTACCGTCTAGGAGGAGAAGCGGTAACGGTAGCCGTCCGGCGGAGCCGGCGGAACGATCCGGACGGGACTGAAACCATGTGTACCGCCAGCGCTAACGCTGGTGGTACAATAAATACATGGAAATTATGAACTGTCGTCTGTCTTAATCTCAAGTAATATAAGCAAATATTGTACACAGCAAAATAAGATTTAAAAAGGAGAATAAACATGCTTGAAGCATGTGTTAAGCAAAAATTGCGGCTTATCTTGCATGACACTTCGGGTAAAATGCAATACTTCCGGTAACTTTAAAGATGGATGTTTTAGCAGATTCCCCAAACAATATGACATTTTCACAGTTTTTTATTGCTATACTTCAATCAGTTTGACCAAAATGACATTTTTTTTAAATTAATTAATTAATCTTGGTCGAATTGTTTGGCATATTACCGTAATTCATAAATTGTATATACCTGAAACCCATAATGTTGTGATTGATAAGAACTGCTTTGAACTGTACGATATCATTTTGAAATATTTCAGCATCAGCCTTATCAAACCCACCAACCAGTACAGCAAAACTGTCATCATGCCCTAAAATACAGAAATGCTTCAGATTTAAATACACTGGGCAAAAAAAAAAGACTTTTGAATAATTTTAAAATAAACAAATGAACTTAGGTTAATATTACAGCCAAATATCGATGAATGCTGAACCCACCAATTGTTACTTTGAAATTTTCCAAGGAATTGAATTCTGTGGGAATTACAGCAACATTTAGGAATATGGAGTCAAATTTCATTTTCACGAATCATGCAAATGGAGCAACATTGTTTAAAGTTTGTAGTTTAAGTGAGTATTAACAATAACCAATGGCCGTTTCACATGATACTGATGCTGAGCCACCTCAATACTTTATACTTTACTATATGCCTTTTTACTGTTTATTGCCAAGACTTGCTCAAACTGCAAACTTTTAAAATCATGCATTGCTCCATTTGCATGATTTGTGAAAATGAATTTTGACCCCATATTGTTATAGAAATGACAAAAGTAATAAAGATTTGTACTTTCAAAGAAATGACAAAATTTCAGCAAGTCTTGACAATAAACAGTGGAGGCTTCACACGATACTGATGCTGAATGTATATAAGATGAAAGTGCACAGTGGTCACAGCATCACTAAAATGAACCTGTTTCTCTTCACTTTTGCGTTGTTCAAAATATAAAATGCCTTAACAAAAGAGATTCATTCTCTGTTGCCTAAGACCAGATAGAGGTAATTGATATAAACTATTAATTCCTCACCAATTGGTGGCTGAGTAAAGCCATGTGTTGGACAGTAGAGAGGGTTGCGATAGTGATCTGTTAGGCAGCCTTGACAAAATATCCCACAGTGTTCTCCTTTTCTTGGCTCACTGCAGTTGACTCTTGGATGTAAATCCTTAGCTAAAATAAAATTTGTACAAACAACATTAATATCTCTTTGACCTATATTTGAATGAATCACTATAACTTGAAAAAATACATTAAAGAACAAATGCAGGATCAAATTATATTTAAAACGTGGTCCCTGTAGTCCACATTTATTGTAATGCCTGTATGTCAAAAGAAATGTACTTCCACCAGTATTGTAGCAGTTATCAATGAATAACACTGAGTAGTGCAAAATTATTACAAGCAACATGCAATTATTGCAAAGGGGTTGGTCAAAAGCAAAGTTAAAACTTAGATATCCAAACAGTTCTCAATACTAACAGCATGGTACGAGTCTCATGATGCTGACTGTTTTATGGTCTTACCATAAAGTTCACAAATAATAATAATAATAATAATAATGATAATAAAATGTGCTTCAGTCAAGTAAAATTTGACAACAGTGGTACATGTAGATTCTTTTTTTTCTTTCTGTATGCAACATTGAAATATCATTGCTGCCAATTTCTTATACAGGCCAACCCAACTACCAGACTCGACACCTAATGATCCTAAATTCACCCGTTCTCAAGGTGTGCCTCAGTACGCAATTCACAGTATTATACCCTGAAACAAATTTTGAGTGGTGATGCAATGCTTTCCAACCCAGCTGAGAATCATCACTATCACACTGCATATACTAGGCAAGAGCAGTGTCACGTCTGACACTTCGAAGCGTGTGCTAATACACACCTTCAAAATGGGTATTGTGGTCCAATATACCAGCGAATTCAGGATCATTAGATGCCGAGGTTGGTAGTTGGGTAGGCCTGTGGCAGACATGCTGAAAACTTTTCAGAAAGGCCAGACATTTGTACCGGCAGTAATGAAAAATTTGCCGGACCGAATGGTTTTTGCCGGACCGAAAATCACCCTTTTCGTTTGAGACAGATACTACCAGTGCGATTAGGTGGCTTTCTTTGTTTCTGAATGTAACAGATTTGAAATGGTAGGGAAAAGCCCTTCAGGTTTTATATAATTCTATTAGTGAAGTATGTCGAATAATGAATGTAAATTCAAAATTCCGGTTCTTAAAACTCTTGTCAGACCTTTGGACTGACCGAGTCCAATTTTTTACTGGTTCAGACAAATTTTCCCGGTCATGACCGATCTGACCAACAGTTTCAGCACGTCTGCTGTGGTTTAGTAAAGCTGCAGCTACAGCTTAATTGTTTAGAAAACCAGCTTGAAAACTTAAGTTAAAATTTTAAAAAATGACTGATGGTTCTATATAGCACAGAAAGAAACCAGAAAGTATTTGTTCAAATACCATTTTTGGGAAATATGAAATGATACCCTTTGCTATTTCTTTAAGTTAAGCTATCAGAAACTACATGAAGGCATTTGGCAAGGTTTTGTGGAAAAATTTGAAATACATTTTTAAAGGTATTTATCATCTACTTACCAGCATTATTCAAGTTGCATTTGCAACATAATGTACCACTAGGTTTGATAAAAGTGTCTATTTTGTCACCAGCATCAAGGATGTTCTGTGCAAAAAATAAATTATCATTCATCAAAATGAAAAATAGTTTTAAACATGAGAACTTGGTTATAGTTATATTTGTCATCAACCATTTTGCTCATAATAACTGCATGTGACATTAATTTTCAAGGGCTTGAGTGTCATGATAATTCTAAACATCAAATTCTAGTGAATAATTCATCAGAATTTGGGATATACTGTCTAGTAATTGTCTACAAATAGTTTTATGTTGATCTGGAAATGTATACTGTGAGGAACAAAATGTGTCATTTAAAAACAACTTTTAAAGATATGACATTTCAAATTTACAAAAACATTTTTATGCCTTTATTTTAAATAAAAACAATATCAGTATTTTAAATGATACCAATTAGGTATCATTATTGAGCAAAGGTCACCATTTTAATGAGACACCGAAGGTCATCCAGGTTTATTCTGTCATCTATTGGTTTCACACATTCCAAGGCCAATTTAGCAAACTTAGTTGTATAATTGGATTCCCCTTCAGGACAGATAGGCCAGACAGCAGGTAAGGCTTCCTGTGCCTTAATAATAACCTATAAAGGCAAATAAAGTCATATGAGTTCAGGGTAAAGAGGGCAAAGTTAAAAAAAATATATATAATTTTATAACTAATGTCAACTTTGTCTTTTTACACAATCAAGAAAAAATACAACAAAAAACTCCTAACTTTTCCATAAATTGATCTTTATACACACACAAACACACCTTTTTGGTAACCTCTTCTAATTTAAATTTACCATCTTCAGTCCTGAACTCCTTCAAAAACTCTTCTTCTGCTCCCATCAACCTCCACATCACTAAAAAACCAATTGGAGAAAACTGCAACATGCAAGTCATCTACAGAGATGGGTTCACAGAGAGGGAGAACACCCCCACCCTTCCTTCCCTTTTCCAAAACAGATAACTTAAGAGTCCATTCAGAATAGAGGATCTTCTGATTCATGGATCCTACATGTAAAATATTTGCACATGCTAGCACTGTCACTGATTTGTCACCTTGAGCCTGAACTATGCTGTAACATTTAATTTCTTACCCACTCCAACACTGAAAACATCATATTCCTTGCGGTATTCTCCCTGAGAGGAAAGGAAATCTGGATCTTGGTAAATCTGATCGCTGTGGTCAACAGAAGTAACCTCTGCAGTGGGGCCATGAAATCTAAGGCGAGCATTCCAATCCTGATCCAACAAAATGTGGCTGGGCTTGATATTCATGTGGAGGATAGAATTCCTAAAAGTATATGAAATACTAATCAGATGAATAACTTATTCATCTACTAAAAAAATAATGTCTTTGATTGTTAAGAATGCTGTAAATACATTGTTTGGGATTTTACCACACCAGAAAACTAAACTATATATTATGTAAGATTTCACATTTTTTCATTTCTTATTTAATCTTGTGGGTTAGTCTAGTACATAACACATTCACCTGAAAACCATGAAAATATATTCAGGGTAAAAATAAAATAATTCAATTCATTTTTTTTTTTTTTTTTTCATTTTAAAAATAATAAAATTAATGAATTTCATTTTTGGCAACTTCGCTACTAGAAAAAAAAATTAAGAAAATAATGGAAATGAAAAATACAACCAAAATGTAAGGATTTATATTTTGTTTCGTTACCTAATTGTGACATTCTCCCTTTCAATTGGTGAATGAAGATATTGCAGGCCTCCACACACTTGGTATGTAATGCGGCACCTGTGATGCCGTTCAAGTTCAGAGCTTTTATTTCTTAATACATGATCCAAGTCTCTCCTTTCCATATTATATGGATACATCAAATAGATTTTTCTGAAAGTATTTTTTTAAACATCAGTCAAATCTCATATGAACATTTGTTACCCCTTTAATTAAGTAAGCAAACCAACCATACAAAGCCATAAAAATTAACTTAATTTTTTTTGTTTGTAAAACCTCCCTTGTTACGACTGATAATTATACTTTAATTCATACTCACTCTGGTGTTGCAGCAACTGCATATAACGGCAACAGAAATGGGTGTCTTATATAACCAATGGTCCTTTCCTATTAAACATAAAAAGGGTTAAATCTCCAAAATAAAAATTAAATGAGCTTAATTACAGTTAAAGCTTATGTTTCTACACCAGACACCAATACAGACACACGTATAGAGTTCTATACATGTCTCAGAAAAAATACCAGAACATTTAATATAATGATTTTCTTCTTCTGTTTTTATTTTATTCTAACAAGCTAAAAGGTACATATATGCGTATTCGTCTCAACAAAATTTTAGCAAATGCAACAAAAGAAATCAGCTTTTATTCACTGCTGCACTGTAATTGCTACTGTGCCATTGTATATATCTGACCCTATTCTCCTCCAAAAACTGCAAAATGTCACTTGATTTTACACTATGTCAGCAGCTTTTTCACTGGCCAACCACCCCCCAAGTATTAACAACCTGTGATAATCACATAATACATGCACATGTGTTACTAAAGATTGATACCTTGATAAACTGAAGCTCATGTTCCTCTCTGGCTTTTTGGCAAACTTCAACAGCAATTTCTTTTTGTCTGTATTTTTCTAAACCTGCAATAATTTTTTTTAAACCTTAATTAAACTAAAAGTAAATAAAACAAAAATTACCTCAGGACAAGTATCTGAATAACCTCTAAAAAATATTAGTCATTTTAAAAGACATCTTTCAGATATTAAAAAAAAAATCTTCCAACTTCATTGTACTAGCTAGTAATCACCCTCAAAAACTTCTCCAAATCTGCTCTTCCCCAAAGAATTGTTGCTACAGTATCGTTCCATCTCTGAGACACTCATGTACTCCAGCACCGGACCATCTGGTGGTTCAAGAGAACAAAGTTACTTACACAAATCAATAAAATAAACAAGGCAGCAAAGCTGTCAAATGTACAGACAAAAAACAGAAAATAAAGATGCAAAAAAAAAGGTCATTTTGTCAATTTTGATGCAATAATAAATAATGCTTATAATAGCACTGTCAGTCAACACTGAATTTTAATCATGCACAACAGGTAACATGGTCAATAACAGGAGCAGATCCAGAGATATTTTCTGACAGTATTCCAAAGTATCTATGTTGATCCATCCTCCATTTTGATGGTCTTCCAACAGAAAAAAAAAATAGATAGCAGTCAATATAAACTTAATAACCTGTCTTCTGGAAGACCCAGAAGATGGTCTCAATCCATCCCTTCAATAAGATTACAGTTTCAGGACCATGAGAGACCAAAGTCACATGATGAAAGTCTCAATATTTGAAAAATGATGACAGTGAATAAAATAACATTATATAATGTTTTAAGACATAAAAAACAATACAATTGCTTATGTGGAAATACAGAAAATGTGCAGAGCCTAGAGCGGATGAGAGATAAAAGTCACAAATGCAAGTGTTTGAGAAAAAATTGTAAAGGAAAACATAACAAAACTAGAAAACCACAGAGAGTGCAGACCTCTGCCAAGGCAGCAATTGTTGATTATTATTGATTATTGATTGATTATTGAGCCAGACCACCACTAAAAACTAATCATTGTCCTCTTTGGCCCAATTCTGACAGTTCCTGAAAATTTCAGCAAAATTGGTCCATAACTTTTTGAGTTATGTTCATGACAGACAAACAGGGGTGAAAATATAACCTCCT